CGCATCTCTAATAGAAGCACATCTACCATATTTGCTCCATTTAAAGTGCATCTCTAATAAAAGCACATCTACCATATTTGCTCAATTTGAAGCACATCTACCATATTTGCTCAATTTGAAGTGCATCTCCAATAGAAGCACATCTACCATATTTGCTGAATTTGAAGTGTATCTCCCATATTTGCTCATATTTGCCTAGTATCAATATCCTGGGAACGTAGTTTAACCTCCTATGTTATGTTATGTTACTATAATATTTAAATGACTAATTATAATATGGCACTGATGATAGACTTCAAGGATGTTGAAATCTATTGACGTAATAAATGACAGAAAGTAACTTTGCTCAAATATAAATTTAAGAAGTGGCCAAAACTCGCCAAAATAAATCATGAAAGCATTTTCACCTAATCATTTCATTACATCTTTATGACTTTTGTATCAAAATATGAAGAATTGTTCTCTATTTCAGTGAAAATAACACGCATACCAGTTCACAGCTCATTCATATACCAAATGAACAATTTCTGAGTTCACGATAGACCTAATCGGATAATTTCATAAAACCAAAAGGTATATGAGGGCACTATATCTTGTCACACTAGAAATAACACTACAGGATTGAGATGATTATGATCTTTATCAGCATCGAAAAAATAACCTCACAAATTCAAAACATTTTGAATGGCATTTTATAAAATCATTTGTACAACTTTTGTGATCCACTCTTGTTTCTGTAATTATATTGAATATCTGCTGACGATAAGTGTAAACTGATCACACTTTTATTGATGCAGTGTGTGAACCCAATACTTGTATTCATAAAATTTATTTACTAGTAATTTACACACCTTATCGAAGTATACAGCAGTATGGTCACTAAATATAACTATCATAACTTTAAAAATGAAATATACCTAGTTTGCAAAATCTACAACAAGGTTAGTGTCTGGAGTATTGACTAAGTATATCGTACTATATAAATTTGCCTTCTTGACTAAGTATATCAAACTCTGGAAATGTAATTTTGTGAAAGAAATGTCTGTATACTGAAATCTTTGCATTTGAGCAATTCATTAAGTAATGGTTTTCATTACGATTTTATTTTTGTCACACAACTTGCAGATCATCTCAGCACCAGGGATTTGCTTGTAACATCCTTGTTCCATTGTAAATTGTGGTTTAGAAATTGCTCTGAATTTTACAGTTTGCAAATAATTTTAGATAATGTTCAAATTTGTAAATCTTTTTAACTTGTTTTGAGTATGTTGCTAACATTCTGGTCATTGTCTATGTCTTGCAATTTTGCTCTGATTAAATTTTTAATATTTGTTGATGTCATAACATTACCCTTCCAATGTTTTTTTATGTAGTTCAGTTTCATTTTTTAAAGTAGTCTGGTTAGTATTGCCATGGTGTATTCTTGCCCAGTATGAGAATACATTACTGATTAATTCTAACTGTATTGGGTAACGACCCAATTAATTTCGTGATGCGATATTTGTGCTTTTGTGAATCTCTAAAACGTTATTTACATAATTTCAGATGAAGTTTTTCATATTCTAGAGTGTTATTTAATGATTATATTTTTTCTAGCTGATCTAGTTTGTTGTCGTATGTTCCCAGCATATACCGGTAAACCCAAAGTTTTGGTCGGTCTTGTAAGTTTACTTGACCAAAACAGTGGGTTTTTATCTGTGAACGCATACTATTTTCTGGTGTTTCTAATACAAATACTTGTACGACACAGTTTGTGAAATATTGAATCATCACTACACAGTACCTATTATACAAATATTTTGATACAATTGTTTTTACCATCAGCAACAAATATTCTAAGATCAGCAGTAACCACAATACCTCTTGGCTGGTTCAGTCCATCCTCAACATTGTCAATTCGTTCAAGAAATGTACCTACTTGGTTAAACTTCTGCACTTTGTGGTCACTGGTTACATACATGTTGTTTTGTTTATCAAATGCTAAACTACTCGGATTATGTAGTTCTTGATCTAATTTTCCTTCTTTACATACATTATACAAAAATGTTCCATCTGCCTGATATACATTGACATTGGGATAGTTATTATACAATAAGTTATCACTATTGAATCTAATACAATCGCCTGCAAACTTTAATTTCACCCATTTTATCAATTTACCTTCTGGTGTATAAACACCAACGCAACTGTTCCACTTTTTACTTAGTGCATATATATGACCATTGACAGGGCTTATAGTAGCGCTTTTTAAATTTCCACCTTCTGAATTAAAATACTGTATTATCTGTCTGTCACTACTGATGGAAGCAATTTTGTCCCCTCCAACAACTACGTAAGTATTGTCATTTAGAACAGCCACATCTAGAGGACAAAATTCTAACGGTATTATTCCCTTAAATTTCCCTTCATTTGTTATGATTTGTAATCGTTTGTTATTTGTGTCAACTACAACAATATCATCATCATTGTTAATTGCCATGCTTTGAATGTTGTTGAATTGTAATATGCCACAGCCATATTTGCCAACTGTTTTCACTAAACCACGTCCAAGGACTGTAGTTGTGATAGGTGATCCTTGAATCTGTTTTCCGCCAACTGTCACACTGACTTTGTGTGTGCCTGTCATATTACCATGCAAAGTAACTGAGAATGTTCCATCCATGTTATCTGTTACTTGCATTTCTTCCTTGATGCCATTTGGTTTGGTAAGAACAGCATTCACATTTTTTGCTCCTGTTGTGATATTACCTATGCAGTCTTTGGTTGAAAAAGGGATGTCCAAAGAACAGCCTCTGAGAAGCCATTTTGCAACATTTCCCCCAATGGTACACTGGGAAATGCAAGCAGGTGCAGTTAGAGTGAGAACTGCGGTGATTAAATCAGCTTGTGATTTGACCTGCAGGCTTTCCTCTTGGATATCCACTTCCACATCCAAAGTGAGCAATGTTTCAATTCGCTCCAAGGTGGACTGTTTCAAACGTAATTGTTTTGTATTATCTTTACAGCCTAGTACATTTTGAATATGGCTGCACATCTCAATCACCTTTTCACGCTGATTACTTAATTTATCCATCTGAGCTTCAAACTGTTTCATTGATTCACCACGTGTCATCTCTATGTTGGCAATTACAGATGTTTTTTTGTTACGTATTGTGGACACCATTTCCTTGGTTGCATGCTTCACTATCTCTATCTCTTCTTTCATGTTTCCTGCAACCCTTTCTTGCGCGTCTGTTACTCTGCATATGCTGTTTGATAACACTGCTTTCTTCTCATTCAGGTGTGGCAGCAGATCTCTCAGATGACTCTGGTATTCAACTACAGCTCGTGACACAGTTTTATGAACATGCTCTGGAATAAGATGGTTTGTAGTCATACAATCTGCGCAGCTGG